ACTGAAAACCTTGGAAATCAACAATGGTTCATGATGACTCTCTCATAATCATGAACCTTAAAGACAACCTTGACCTTCCCCTCAGTTTACAGGATAAAAATGAAGGGATGCTCTGGAAAGAATTGATCAAGAAGCTTGAACTTCCTAGAATAGAGCTTATGACGGTCACGCGGCTCACTCGGAGGAAGGACTCTAACCATCAAAATCACCCGAGGCTACTTTGTGTAACACTTAAGAATGCTTCCGACGTAAAGGACGTCCTGCTGGCTAGTCACTTACTGAAATCCGATGTGTACGTAAGAATATTGGTGACATACCGTATTCTGAGCGCAATTTCATTTAGAACATCCCCAAGGAATCCTCGCAAAACGCTTTTCCCGCGGAAGAAATATCACCGTGTATGGTATATCGGAAATACGGACCTTGGTCAAGCAAACTCTGATATTAGGGAGAGGAAATTCATTAGGCAATCCCTGAAACTCAAAAACATACTGACTCAACATGCGACGAGACTAGCCAAGAAGGACGGAGATTCTTGACTCACGCTAATAATAATAATATATTTCTGCAAGAGCAGGTACACGCCATTTTTACAGGCATGATCTACAATTTACAACATATACTGGTTCACAGTATGCATCCCAAGCAGGGTTGTTTAGCAATTATAATCTATAAAAGTTGATAGCAGTTCATTCGTTCACATTTAATGTGTTTTCATCAGAATAGTTTCCAAAGGGGCATCGCGTTCACGCTATATACCAGATCCAATCTCGACAAAAAGTGTATAAGGGTTTCGGTCGTGCTAAATATTTGTGTAATGAAGCTTTTTAAGTTTATAGTTGCTATAAACTAGGCTTGTGGAGCGCCTGGTTCAAACTATGACCTTGGTAAAGCGCGTTCGTCGAGCTTGTTCCAGATGTCAGAAGTTACATAGATTCACCCCCAGAGCAAGATTCTAAAGAGAAAAACGAGAAACCGAGTAGCAGCAAGGCATTTGGATATGAACCATAACTAATGCTTAACATTTATTGATGGAACAGACGAAGGTACGATAAATTATTGGTTTAAATTGATACTAACTCATGTTGCTGGAGTGAAATGTGATCAGGAGCTCCAGAGGAGAGAATGCAGTAATAAACAACAATAATTTGTTATATTTATCAAGGTGGAGTAGGTTCAAATGAATGAAGATAACTTTCTCGTCCTCCCATATGGTGGCTGCAACTCCGGAAGCATTTTGTACTAACAGACGACGGTTGCCAACTGGCATCCATACGCACCCGGATAGGCACCAGAATCAAGCACAAAAGCAAGTTGGAGCTGACAATTCCACTTGTGGACTGTCTTGATCATAAAAAGTGTTTAAGGGATAGGGACTACGAACTCGGAAAACCTTGTATAGTTAGGCTACCTGTCCATTCACGTAAGCCTCATACAGACAAACAGCAAGAAGCTCATGAGTTTTGAATTGAAAACATCAACTGCTTATACATGAACGCCGCGAGTTTACCAAATAAAATAGATGAACTACGTGAACTTGGCAACGCTAATAATGTTCATCTGATAGGAATACTGAAACTTGGATATCTTCTCAGTTTACAGATCAGGAGCTGTCAATGCCTAGGATGTCTTTGTCTCGCAACGACAGAAAAACAGAAATGGGAGGTGGAGTAGCCTTATACATACGATCACGGCTGGGGGTACACAATTTCACAACTAAAAGTTTCTCAATCTTAATGAATCCATATGGCGTTCGGTAAGATTGTCTACTACCTCAAGGTGTCTAGCTGGGGTCGTCTACAGGACGTCCACTGCTGACATCGAGTGCGAAAATTGTATGTTGGAAGGATTATCCCTCTCTAAGCGTCTCGGATTCTCTCATATCCTGGTTCTAGAAGACCTCAATTTTCCTAGAGTCAATTTCGCGGAACATACCTAGATTGGAGGTGACAACTCAACTGAAACTCAATTCTTCAACCTCATTAAGGATCTGGGATTATTCGAAAACGTGAATTCGGCAACTCGTTGGAGAAACAGTCAGACACTGTCGAGCTTAGACTGGGTATTCACAAACAAAAATTCCTAGTTAACCACCTCTCAATTCTGGCTTCCCTGAGGAAAAGCGATCACGCTATTATATCCTTCAGCTTTGTCAGCAAAACTGAGCTCAGATATCCCACCAACAACAGGCGTTGGCATTTCAAACGGTTGAATATGTTAGCTTTATAGGACCATCTACAACATCTGGATTGGGATGTTCACCCTCAAATTGAAGTGAGTGCTCATCGAGATTTCTTACTGCACATGCTCTCATGTGCTACGGAGCATCCAGTTTCTCAAACGGTTCCGAAAAGCTACAAGCAACCTAAAATTATCAAGAACTGCACTCTTCGTTTGCTAAGCCGCAAAAGCACTGTTGGGCTGAATGCAAACGCACTGATGACAACAGCGCGTACAGGCAATACAAACATAATAATAATAATTATTATTGTTGAGATTACGAAGTTTTGGATTAAGACAATAACTTGTGTTACGCTTAATTCAACTTCCCAGGCTCGTTTTACCTTCACTATGCATATACGACTCATAAATATTGATAATCCCTTGCACTTAATTGAGACTTTCATAGCATCACCCCAAACTATGACTGCACGCACAAACACTTATTCTAACGTCATATCTTACCGCAATAATATGTTATTTACTTATGAATTTATTCTATTTTATTTTTAGTACTCGTTTTTGCTATACATACATAGTTGTTTACTCTTGTTCTGCGTTAAGATATTAACGTATTCCGCGACTCCTTTATTTATATTTCCTTAGTCTCTTCCTTTCCTCCTTCAAAATCAATTCAAAATTCTTGCCAATTACGCAGAACCTGATTTATTATTACTATTCTATTATTAATAATTTATTTTCCTTTCTCAAACATGGCAAATGTAATGCTAACATTATTGAAAATTGTGTATTATTGCATTTTTGAAGAAACCCAAAATGGTTTCTTCACAGCACTTATGTACTCATAAGATGTCTTTGAATAATAATAATAGTATGCACAAAGGCAAAAAGAGAAGATAGACTTCCGTACCAGTTCAAACTTACCGATAAATTTGTCTCCAATCCGAAAAGCTTATTCCGCGATGCAGCTTCCCTTAGACAAGCGAAAACTGGAGATTCCCAACCACTAGGTCCTAATGGTCCGATCAATAACGACGGGGATGCCGCTAATCTTTTGGCCGAACGGTAATTTCGGACATTTCAACCGATGCACATCAACTACATTGATGAACGCTTCATCTGCAACTGTATAGGACTTTCCGAAGTGAACATGGCCGTTGACCTGGTGTTCCGTAAACTGCAGCACATGAGGAAAAACACTTCTCCCGGCCCGGATGTGGTTTATCCTGCTATACTGAGGGAAGCAGCTTCAATCCTGGCAACACCGCTTAACTTGATATTTTCACACTCACTAAGCCGAGACAAATTACCTAAAATTTGGAAGCCTGCTCACATCACACCAATTTTCAAAGGAGGTTGACGCAGCGAACTTTCAAGCTACCGACCGGTGGCCCTTCTCTCCAAACCTTCTAAAGTTATGGTGTCTATGATATGTGATCATATACACGGCTACTTATTCTTCTCACCTCAACAGCATGGTTTCAGTAAGGGTCAATCTTATACAACCAACCTGCTGACTGCGGTGGACAGATGGACAAGCATCCTTGGTTGCAAGGAGACGCTTGACATCATTTACTTAGATTTCTCAATACCTTTTGACAGGGTCAACCATATGTCTTATAAATAAGCTTACACGTTTGAGTATCAAACCATATCTAATTGACTGGCTCGCTTCACATCTAAAACATTGACATTTTAAGGTCAGGGTTAACTTCACTATCTCTCTCAGGCCATGTAATGTCCCAAAGAAGTCCCCCAAGGCTTATTATTAGGACTCTTCTCTTATTGATTTATCTAAAAGATTTTCCACAACAAGAGTCGTCTGAGTTATTGCCTTTCGCTCATGATGTGAAACTTTGGAGAGAGATACGTAAACAAAAGGATATACTAGCACATCAGGAGGATCTAACTTGAGTTCAAATTTGGGCAGATGACAACGGACTTACCTTCAACACTTCAAAATGTAAAGCATTCCATCTGCGACATGTTGCAGACTACAGTCACAACTTAAGAAACTCCTCTCTAGAAGTATCCCAAGCCGAAAAAATTTAAAAGTGTTGGTATCCTACGACTTGAAGTCTTATGCTAACTGTAACGAAAACGCCTTTTGAGCAAACCTTGCACTGGTAACATTGAAGTGCATTTCGGGCCCGTTTGCCGGAAGAACTTTTTACATAATCTTCGACAGTTTTATTCGTCCTCATTTAGAGTACGGGAACACAGTATTTCCTCCCTACCTCCAAAAGGATGAGGACATTCTGGAGCGTATCCAACGGCGAGTCACGAAATCAGTTCGGGGACTCAAATTCAAACCTTATGAAGAGCGCCTCCAATCGCTTAACATTTACCCGTTAGAGTATAGGCGTCTTAGGGATGACTTTCTTATGGCTTACAGTATCCTTAAGACTTCTGATCATCCACTTAAACATCTATTTAAGCTTAGTCACAATACTACCTTAAGGGGTAACACTCAGAAGCTGGAGACCCAACATGGCAGAACGGACTGTAGACACACCTTCTACTCCTTAAGAGTTGTCAAATTCTGGAATTCGCTGTCGACTGAGCTAGTCCAAGCGACTTCCCAGGAGTCCTTTAAGAGGAAACTTGACCTATTCTTAAGGACTAAGGATAACAACTTATCATGATATATCAAATTTCTTTTTTCCTCTATTATCTCTATTATACCTAGGTTCCTGCTTGAATCCACTGTTACTAAAGCCCGTTTAGTGAAATCTTCTTCTACTCCGTCCACAAACATTTGAACCATTTGAATGGTTACCACACATCAACTAACCAACTTTTTCTCATAAACAAAGAATGTCGGATTAGTGAATACTAAATCAGCTGGGACAAGTAACGAGAAGTCATGTTGCTGTTAGGTGCGGGCAATACGGATGCCCTTCCGTGACCTTCAGTCTAATGACCCTAACTAAAAGTCTACTGGAGGGTCTTGATGACAGTATTGCTGAAAGGGTAAATAAATATTTTTGGTACTAATGATAGACTTTGAAGTAAATGAGTGAATTTTTACTATAGCTTTAGCTATGAGACCGGTCAAGGACAAAGAGGGCAAGACGATCACCGAGATTTACGAACAGAGAAACAAGTGGGCAGAATACTTCGAAGATCTATTGAGTGGGCCAGCCTCAATGAATACACCAAACATCGGAGCAGCACTTACATACCTTTCTTTAGATGTAATTCCATCAACGATCGAAGAAATCAGCACGACCTTCATGCAAGTTGTGAGTGGGAAAACAGTAGGACCCGACAATATACCAGCTGAAGCTCTGAAGTCAGACATAGAAGTAACTGCAAGTATGCCTCACATTCGATTCAGGAAGATTTGGGAGGAAGATCAATTGCGGACAGACTGAAAAGAAGGATACCTAGTCAAGATACCAAAGAGAGGGTATCTGAGCAAATGTGAGAACTACAGAGGCATTACACTATTGTCAGTACCAGGAGAAGCTCCCAACAGAGTGTTGCTGAACAGTATGAGATATTCAATAGACGTCCAGCTTAGAGATCAACAGATTGGATTTCATAAGAATCTGTCGTGCACAAACTGAATCGCAACACTATGGATCACCGTTGAACTATCAGTTGAGTGGAAATCGTCACTATACACCAAATTTATTGACAATGAGAAGGTATTCGACAGTGTAGATAGAAAGACTTTATGGAAACTTCTACACTATGGTGTACCCGAGAAAATCGTCAACATCATTCGGAATTCATACAACGGACTATATTGCAAAGTGGTGCACGGAGGACAGCTGACAGGTGCATTCCAGGTGAGGACCGGAGTCAGATGAGACTGCTTACTCTCTCCCCTTCTCTTTCTTCTGGTTAGATGTAACTAGAAGATTTGAACTTAGTGGATGACCTAGCTCTTCTATCCCATACACATGAAGAAATGCAAATGAAAACAACTAGTGTAACAGCAGCCACTGCATCAGTAGGCCTCAAAATACACAAGGGAAAAGGCAAGATCCTCAAATCCAATACGGGGAACACCAACACAACTACACTTGATGCGGAAGCTCAGGAAGATATGGAGTCTTTCACGTACCTTTGAGGCATCGTCGATGAACAAGGAGGATCAGGTGCAGAAGTAAAGGCGATGATTGGCAAAGCAAGAGCCGTATTCCTGCAGTTGCAGAACATATGAAACTCGAAATACCTGTCAACTAATTTCAAAATGAGAATCTTCAATGCGAACGTCAAGACAGTCCTACTGTACGGAGCTGAAACAGAGAACTACTACAGCTACCATCAAAAAGGTACACGTATTTATAAATGGTTGTATGCGCAAGATACTCAACATCCATTCGCCGGATACCATCAGCAATAGCTTTCTGTAGGAGAGAACAAACCAACTTCCAGATGAGGGAATTAGGCAAAAACGTTGGAAATGGATAAGATGTACATTGAGGAAATCATCAAACTGCATCACGAGTCGAGCGCTGACTTGGAATGCTGAACGAAATCGGAAAAGTGGAAGGCCGAATAACACTCTACGTTGGGAAATGAAAGTAGGTATGAACAGGATGAATGACAGCTGGATAGAACTGAAAAGGATCGCCCAGGACAGAGTCGGATGGAGAATGCTGGTGGTTGGTGGCCTATACTCCTCCACGAGGAGTAACAGGCGTAATTTTCCCTCTGAGACACGTTGATCCGACGCTCTTGGTTTTTAAATTTATGATGTTAACGGCGAACGAGTGGAAGTTTACGTAACGTACTTTTCTTGAGGCCGTTCTGTTCTTTGCGTAAGAGTTGTTTCATATATATGAGGTCTGTTCGTTTTTCTTAGTCTTTTGTCGTTTTTAGGTGTTCGGATCAAAACCACGAGCCCATAAGAGCTTGGGATGGACGGCATGCTTTCACGTCTTCAGTTTAGAATCTAATTTGTATTATCACACGCAACGTACTGTCTTATGGAAGTGCTTAATCATGGTTTCACACATGTTACTGTGTGTTGGCATGCTACTCTGCAGCTTCAGCAACTCAACTACTGGACAGATCATGCAGATTATCACATTTACTCTCTGAATAGCGGTTTTTATTCACCTACTATGTCTAGTTTAGTTGCTTGCTAAAATTAATCTCCAAATAAATATTTCCTTGGCGTTTATCCTTGAGTTATTCACTTAAAAATTGGCTATCAGTTTGTTTACGTTTCAGTTACGTTTTACTGTGATTTGAGGTCTAACTCTGCAAGAGCTGTTGGAAGTTAAGCGTTTTAGCCACAGTATACTAGGTAAAGATGGAGAATCGACTAATAAGGTTGCAAATCTTTGTCAACTAATGTAATCGGGAAATGCGTCACTTATGCCTGGTGGCTGTATACCTCGATATGGTTTACTGGCTGGCATGGTAGGTTAATTAAAAGTCTGTGTCAATCAAGCGAAGATATTTCGTCATTTTTTGAAGTTATTGACTGTTGATCTGAGCTTTTTTGGTTAGTGCAAACTAATTGGTCGTGGATTGTTAAATAATAGTGACCAGTGGTCTCGCTTCTTCATTGTCCTCCGTCAGACTGTTGCGATGTGTTGTGACCAGTTAATTATTTTTCGTTTTGTCCTTCCTCGTAGTCTGATTTTTGTTGCCCTGTAAAGATTCAGTCACCAATTAAGTGATTACTTATTCGTACCTACTACATGTATTATGATAGCATAGTATGCCAACCACTATTTAATAACAATGATTATTTATTTCGAAATGAACTAGGATTAAGTTGAAGTTAACTATCCTTTTGTTTTACCCCTGTGTAAGGTGAATAAACCTTCAAAACGAAATGATTGCGGTATTTTGGACAAATGTTAAGATTTACGCGAAATATACATCTTAATTTATTATTTTCTCCAGGTATTGAGAAAACTATAACGACTTTCATTTTCTGTTAAATAGATGTTAGCTGGTGTTGTTAGTTTGTTATCCTTTTCTATTAGATTTCATTCAACGAAATTTCAATTTTGTAAACCGGAAGGATTTGTTAAATATTGTTTTCAGTACAATACTTACTACCCTAAGATGTTTTCAACTCGGTTTAAGACGTGGTTGTCTGAAAGTGAGTTGAACACTTCAAGCATTTTTCGTGTTCATATCTAACTAATATATTTTCCGATTTTGAATTAAGGGATTCTCCGTTGTTGAAGACGAATATTTTCAAGCTGCAGTTCCAAACCACCTTTTTGATGCTAGCAATTTGGTTTCAAACGAACTTACGCTGATATCAGTTCGTTATGAGATTATCCAACTGATACTTTAACTCACTAGAATATTGTTAAAAGTGATATTTCAAAGTCTTCATACTATCATGGAAGTTCGGAGTTATACCAGTTATTGGATTTATTGATCAGAAGTTTTGAAAACATCGTTAGTAAACACGATGACTTAATTAAATATCTAGTTACAATAGATAAAGAAGAGTCTTATTTACCTATTTCACTTACGTCCCACAAGTTAGTGAAAGAAGTTACGTAGTCCATTTCCATTTCAGAAAGGCAGTTGAAACGATTATGTCATTGGACTTCTGTTTAACTAGTCAGTCTTCAGCTAACAGCACGTTCGATTCCCGAAAAAGACTTATGGAGTTAGTCTTGGATTCGGTAATTGTTTATCAGTTTATCATTTTGATTATGGTTTGTAGAAAAATAACATTGAGAAGTTAACAAGTTTCAATCAGAATTTGTCTTTACTAGCCTGTCAGCTTAATGAAGCTAGTAGTTTATTAAATGGTGAAATGGATTAACCTTTCACTACATGGAGACACAAGGAAGGGTAGAATTGTATATATTAACTGTTTTTAATCCAAACTGGATACCATTAATATTTTTGTAAGTTATTGGCTTTGTTGTAATATGTTGTTAACAGTATTTATTTTGCTCTTCTACGTTGTGACTGACTGATTTATTGTGCTCTATCTCCTAGTGAAGGGTTCATTTAGAGGCGTTGTCTTAACTATTCTTTACAGCATTTATCTTGACACGAGAATAATAATCAAAATTGAATAAAAGCTCTGTTCATGACAAAACAATATTTAGTGGCCATCCACTTATAAAGTTTCCACAGTATGATCTCATTTGGGTGATCGAGTTAATAGGCAGAGCTTAAACTAAGTTAATTTTATCTACTTTTGTTTAACTGGAATTTTCAATCAGCTTGATAAGCCTGTTGTTTCAAATCACTATGATCCTCAATGTTTTAGTACCATAAAAACGATTCGAGTTAAAAGAAACAAGCAAGAAAATTGTATGATGAAGACAGCATTGTTCACCCTACTGCTTTAATATATATATATATATATATATATATATATATATATATATATATAGTTCTACACAGTCGCATTTATCATCTAAATAATTTTATCAATTAGAGAGACACAATTCCTCTGGTAACCACCCGGTTGAATTTCTTCGTATAAACTTATAATAATGGATTAAAGAAGACAACTCTTAAGAAACAATTCTAGCAAAACTAGGAAATCGATTATCTTTGTTTTGATTTCTATTGGATTGTTTTCCTTGTTGAGAGAAAACATATTAGACTTGTTCCCTCCCACAGACTATCCTCAGATTATGTTGTATTCGAAAAAAATCGTTATACAATTTAGTTTTACCCTATATAGTTATGTATTATGGAGTATTTTAAATCCCTAGATAATTTGCCTTAATTAAATAATTTTCTACAAGTTGCTTGAAGGATAAGATTTTTTTCAAGCCTAAAATCTACCTTAAATTTAGAAACATGCGATCATCTCCATTCTCAAGGGACTTATCGAATACTCAACCAATTCATATTATTCTTAGACTTTTGCTACGACAAGATCAGAATTCGACATTAAAAAATGATGTAATAGTTTATAAAAATTACTAAATGCATTACGAGAGATATTTCAAACCTATATCTGAAAATCAGCCAGCCAGTCAGCTACTACTTAGGACCAGGCACAGAAATGCATCGGTCCAAGTTGCCACACCTCATTAGCACAACAAGATGAACACCAAATTTATAGAAGCAGTTGCTTCAATGGTAGTAATATATAAAAAAGGATTGCATATAAAGATATGATACAGAATAAAAGAATTCGTAGAAAGAAAAGCATCAGGTAATTTTAATCTCACAGTTTAAGGGAAGATAAAGAGTATACACTTACGTCATTATGATCGATTCTTAACCATGTCACCCAGAGTCTCCCACCATTGATTACGATAGTCACGCAGACGCCAACCAAGTAGTTTGCATCCACCGAAATAGCTCAGACTAGAAGTTAGTGACTTAAAGGACTGATGCCACCTTTTGGTTTGGTCGCCCCTAACTTTCTTCCAACCATCCCCAACACTAGCCAGCATTGCGCGCCGTGATAATCGGTGGTTGGGCATACGTAACACGTGGATCGACCATCTCAGTCGATGTAGATTCATAACCTCATCAACTGATTTAACATAATTCCGTAGTATCCTGTGTCTAACCTCACTATTACTTCCCCGGTGGTCCCAGCAGATGCGAGCAATATTCCTAAGACATCTGTGGTCAAATACTAGTAGCTTACGAGTATCTTCTACGCTTAATGGCCACGTTTCGCAGCCGTAAAGTAGAACACAACGAACTGCTGCGCAGTATACTCGTCCCTTGATTGATAGATAGATATCTCGCCTTCACCATAGGTGACGTAAGTTAGAAAAAGTCAAACGAGCTTTCTGAATCCGTGCTTAGATTTCGTCAGACACCAACCCATTAGGGCTGACCAGACGTCCAAGATAAGTGAAGTTGTCAACGCGTTCGACTAATTCACGCCCTATCCTTAGTTCAGGTGTTGACGCAGGCCAGTCCAGAAGCAACAACTTGCATTTAGAGTGGGAGAAACGCATTCCAAACATCCTAGCATTGTTGCTCAGTGCTACCAAAAGACTCTGCATTTTATCTGCGTCTTCACCAAACAGGAGTTTATCATCTGCGTTTTCGAAGTCGATAAGTGGACCTCCTTGTAGGAGATCAATGCTCGACGAAAGCGTCATATCCGGCAGTAGGTCCGTTATGAAGTTGAACAAAAATGGAGATAGTGGACAGTCTTGTCGGATACCACTTGAGGTTGTAAAATCGGATGGCAGTTCGCCATAAGCTCTCACCCGACTGGTAGTGTTCGAGTAAAGAGTCTTCACAAGGTTGATGTACTTCTGAGGTACACCTTTCAATGACAGACACTGCCACAGAGTCTCTCGGTCTACAGAGTCAAATGCTGCTTTCAAGTCAAGAAAAACTATCATTGTCGGACGCCGATAAGCGTGTCTGTGCTCTAAAACTTTACGAATGGTGAATATGTGGTCGATACAGCCACGACCAGGTCTGAAGCCAGCCTGATTTTCTCGTGTTTGCAGTTCACGAGTCTTAGTTAGGCGCCCGATAATTATTGAGGCTAGTATTTTAGATGCTATGTTGGTCAGACTAATCCCTCTATGGTTATCGCAGGATGGTTTTGACCCCTTTTTATATATTGGGACAATCAGTGATTGTGACCAGTCGGATGGGATTACATCCGTCTCCCAGATTTTAGCCAGAATATTAGTCAACGTAATCGCTAAAATCGGACCACCATATTTAAAGACCTCTGGAGCCAATCCATCTGGACCAGTTGCTGTTCCTCGTTTCAGATTACCTATAGCCTTTTGAACTTCAAGTAGGGTCGGGGGGCCTACTTCAATGTTCCATTCAGGTTTTCTAGGAATAGTGGGTAGTTGTGCAGTAGCTGAAGGCCAGCTAAACTGCTCCTTAAAGTGTTCCGCCCATCGTTCTAAACGTTTGGGTTGAGAGCAGATAAGGGTTCCGTCTTTTTCGGAGATTGTCTCACTTACACTTGACTTCTTAATTCCGGTTTCTTTTATTAGTCTGAATAGTTGCCTGGTGTTCCCTACTATTTTATTATTTATTTATTTAAACACACAAATATTGGTACAATGAAGCACCAGATAAATATGCGCCTCACAAATCTCATTCGATTTGTGTGAGGGCTGTGATACTGCCCAGGTGCCCAGACTGAAGCAGGTGGTTTTCTTAGGGGGCCACACCCGGAGCCTTTGACCTGAATGTCTGATCCACAAGGCAGTGGAGCATCGTGAGGTTTTCATTTCCTAGTTGCTCACTCCTTGCGAACGTCGGTGGCTATTTGAACTCAGCAGTTCGGTGGATAGAACGCTGAGCGTCTGAATTAAAAAATGCAGGGTTTGAGTCCCAGTTGATGTTGTCTTAGTGACCTGAGAGCGTGACCACAGTACCCAAAGTACAACTGCTTGAGGTCGGTCACACACGACCTTTTTGTGAGCAATTTTCGTGTTTGCTCCGCACTGGTTGAGACCTTACTGTCAGAGAGGGATATCCGTGGGACAATGTGAAGAGTGCATTTCTAGGGTTGAACTTTTCTAAACCCACCCCTCCTTATGGGAAGGCAGCATCGCCGTTATGATGGTTGTCTGAAGGAAACACCTTACTTCGGTCACACCTCTGTACAGTCAGCAGTACGTCTACGCCTTCGGACCTTTGGTTTGCTGCATGTAGTCTTACCGCTCTTCAACCGACCTGTCTGGCATGCTAGAACTCTGAGGAACGATTGTTCCAGCCAATATAGCTCAATCAGTTCGTCGCGATAGGCAAACCCGACCACCTCATCAAGGTAGTGGGGAAAGTTGGGATACCTGACAAGAATTGTAGTTAGTGTTCGATAGTTAGAGGCTTTTGTGAAATGAATTTTTGAGTCAGTCTTCAAGTTGTGGGATATTCCTATCGTTGGGAAATTAGTCTTATGGATATTTACAACTATGCTACTCATCGCTGCAGCCAGAAATACTATGCATCTAATATATCTTTAACTTCAGATAGTATCTTGTAGTGATTTGTCAAGGGTACTTACTGGTCGTTAGATGGTATTTAATGTTGTGTTATTTAGTCTCAGTGCTCATCAAGTTTCGTCAAAACGCATCCAATACAAATTCAAATGTTTTCAGTGTCGGGTGTCTTATTTTAGTGTCCTGATTAAAAATTTAATTCGTAGAATTAGATCATTTAATAATGTCAAACAATACGAAGGTTACTTTAAGACTAGTTTGTTAATCGTTAAATCCAACACCTCTCATTTCATTTGAATTATTTGTTTTTGACCAGGTTAGTAGCGAATACCTACAATTTTCAGTTTCTTCGGTTTACTAAAGAGAATGATTACTTTAGAAAATCCTATGTGGGAAAAAATTTATAACTATTGGAAAACCAGTATGTGAATTGTTATTATAAGCAATTTATCTATCCATGGGTTACTTATCTCTCAATTAACCATGAAGTAAATGGAATATTAACACTTCGTATATCTTTATCAGCTGTAGACACTCTATTAGGCTTTGAAACAAAAAAAGATTAATAACTAACACATTCATTGACAGAGGTCTTCGAGCATTATTCGTCCTTTAAGGAGACTCCAATATATGCTAAGTTATCGAAAGTCTTTTATTGCAAAATAAATGTATTTTTGGTTATCAGTGAAATCTAAAAAGCGCCATTTGTTCCATTTCGGGCTCATTTGGATACATCTACGTTCAGTGTTGATGTTCACACTGGGACTCAAACCCTGCATTTTTTAATTCAGACGCTCAGCGTTCTATCCACCGAACTGCTGAGTTCAAATAGCCACCGACGTTCGCAAGGAGTATGATATTTTTATTATTAAAAAGGATTTGAATTTGCTGTTGATAATCCTGTCAGTCAGTCAGTCAGCTACAACGTAGGACCAGGCACATTTATGCATCGGTCCAAGTTGCCATACCTCGTTAGCACAACAAGATGAACACCG